CCCTACCCATTGAGCCACAGGTGCTGTTTCCCCCCCAATTTGTTTTTAATTAGCTGGGCGTGGTGGTACATGCCTCTAGTCCCAGCTACTACTGAGGCTGAGGCAGAAGGATTGCTTGAGCCAGGAATTTGAGGTTACAATGAGCCGTGATCATGCCCCTGCACTCCTGCTTGGGCAACAGAGTATAACCTTGTCTCTAAAATTTATAAAATAAAAATAAAATTACAGTGTTAAGTTAGCTTCCCAATGCTAAATCAAAATCAAACACATTCTCTAAAGAACATTCACAGTTGCTCTCAATTTTATTATAGCTATCAGAGAATCTATAAGTACAGAGAATCATAAGTCTCCTAATTAGAATAATTTTCTTATAAAGAAAAATACCTTACACATATCCTTGCACAAAGATACTATTACTATATTGGAACCCAAGTAACCGAATAATGTTCAACAAATTATGTACCTTCCATTCTTTCATTTTCAAGTCTAAAACAAAACTAAGAAATTATAAAATACTAAGTATAAAATTATGTCATACTTGAAAGCTATATTGAGTATGAGGACTGAGATTTTATCTTTCTCAATAAATGAAACACTCTGACATAAACTACAGAACAAACAGCACATTTTAACTACTAATTTTTTTAAGTTAATACAAATTGTGGGATTTGGTTGGAATATTCTAATATAATAGTAAAACTGAAATTATTCCATGCATAATCTGAAAAATACCATCAACCTTGCCTGACATATTTTCTAAATTATTTTTGTTAATCAACTATATCAACAAGAATTTCATAGATGTATATACAATAGTATGCCATATAGATTCTTCAATCAAAGGCTTCTATTGTGCAGATGTGCTAAAATAGGATTTCCCTGAGATGAACTGTCTTGCTGGCCTGTAAAACTGTAATCAGATTTTAATCTGACTTATAATATAATCTAACACCCACCCAAAATGAGTGTTAATGATTTTATGTTATCAGTTAATTTGTGCTAATATGCTTTTTAGTTACTACTTATGAATTTGTTACTAAATCGTTGTAATCAGAAACCTTGTTTAAAATGAAATGTTCTGGACGCAAAGGTGCACGTGAGTAGCTACTTCAGAAATAACTTTCATGTTATCTTTTCAAATGCAAAAGTCAGCCAAAAAGAATTTTAGAAAGTAAAAAAGTTTCCCAAATATCCCATGTTGCTCATTGCCAAAGATTTTTGTATTTTAAAGATCAGACAAGAATTTATTAGTTTAAAAGATTTGCTTTTTTTTCCTTTCATTTCCATATCCAGGTAGAATCTCATTCATGTATTTTTAATTAGAAAGCTATTCACGTGAAATAACGTCTTCTCATTGAATGATCTCAGAAATGCTGCTGAGATAGTCTTCAGACTTCATTATAAAATTTGTCCACTCCTGACAAATGTCGTCCATGGAGAATTCTTCACCACCATATTCCACAGGAAGAATGTTTGGGAAATGCTGAAGTAAGCTTTGTTTGTAATTGTCCCCGTGCATATGAATCTGAAATAGCCAAAACATTTTAGACAGCATCCCCTTCATTGCTCACTTCATTTCTCATTTTACTGTTTTCTTAGATTTGCATTCTTATAACAGCTAAATATTTATAAGGATTTTCTTTTCTTCTTTCAATAACAGATTTTTAAACATTAAATAAAATTATTTTATAAATTCTATTCCCTGATGTGCAGGTGATTCTTCCCAAACCATCTAATATCCTAGGTCTATTGTATAGATATTAAATATTATCAATTCCTATTAAATAGAAGCATACATCTGAGCATACAATTAGGCATATGAGAAATAATTTATGTTGCATAGATGATGGATAGTCTTGGCTAGTACAGAATTAAAGAGATAATTATCATGGTTGAGAGCCTCAAATTTCTATCTATAAAAATTGATCATTTAATGCCAGAAAACTGTAGAAATTTAAACCAAAACAAATTTTGCTAAAAGAAATAAATACCCTTTTCCATTTTCTAGGGCAAAATGTTCATCTATGCCTTCAAAGCTCATTTAATAAACACCTACTATGTGCCAGACAGGAGGATTGATGAATGAAAAGAGTGACCTACACTTAGGAACCTCACAATCCTGAACCTAATTTTTTTCCTGAAATAATTGAAATATCAATTAAGCGAGAAGAAATTCCTCAGGAAGGAGTAAAATGAGCAAATTTATAGAGTGTTGCCAAAAAGTTGAAAAGGAAATGATGGAAAGGAAATGATGGCTGGATTGGGGTTTACTCCCCCTATTTCAGCAAGTCTGTTTGGTGTCATAACTTTCACTGAGAAATGCTCCATCTCCTTCTCAATTATTTATTTATTTTTTCTTTTTTTGTCCATATTCTCCTGTTTAATATGTGTAGTTCATTCTTGTTTTTTCTCTTTTGTCCAAAATATAACTCAAAATAGAAATACTTATTTTTAGATCTTTAAGAGGCTAGCCAGCTATTAAAAAGCTACATTAAAGAATGAAAAAATATGAACAAAAAAATTTGACTTATATAAAAGCATTAGAATAAAAAGTGACCATCATCACTAAAGCAGATAATATTCACTATATAACCTCTACAGAAGCTCTAGGACAGGTGTCCTCAAACTATGTCCCGTGGGCCACATGCAGCCCGCCTAGGACATTTATCTGGCCCACTGGGTGTTTTTGCCGCCACGGCCTGTCCCACTTAGCAGCCAACGCGTCCCAGGCCCGCAGTCTGGCCCTCCAACAGTCTGAGGGACAGTGAACTGGCCCCCTCTTTAAAAAGTTTGAGGACCCCTGTTCTAGGGTCACAATTTTCTGAGTAGGTACAAGATACTACATTATTTTAATATGAAAGAATATACTTTCCAAAATTCTAAATATGCTATTATAATTCATACATCACTATATTTAAATAATTTTTGAGATTTACATTGTCAAGGCCTTTAAAAATTGTTTTGTGTTTAAGGCATTAGATGATGCCAATGTTTGTCTAAATAAATGCTCTAAAAATTCTCTTTTACTGCTTAATGTAGAAGAGTGGCTGCCATTTTTGAAATCTCAGAGTCTATTTTCAAACTTGAAAAAAATATATTAGATATAAGAGATATTAGATATTCACCTGAAATAAGGCTCCACAGGATAGGTAAAAACCACCAAATTTCTCAGCTTTAATAAGCCTGACATAAAGTCACACTTCAGGTACTATGGTTTTCAGTTACTCCAAAACTGTTTAATTAAACTTCCCTGTTTAACTAAGAAATGTGTTTATTTTTATTTGCATAAATAACACATTCACATGGTTAGAAATCAAAACAAGGTACACAGTGATGTCCTGCTCCCAACCCTATTCTGCTCTACTCCGGTCCGAACATGTATGCTTGTTCCCTAAAAGTAACCACTTATAATTTTATATTATCTTTTGTATAAACCTTTACTTTAATTTTTATGCAATTGTATTTTGATTTCCCTTTTCTATATACAAAAGTAGCACATTGGAAACACTATTGTGCATTTTGCTTACTTCTCTATACGAAACATCCTGCTCATCTTGTTGCATTCCACTGTATGGAAGTATCATGGTTTATTTAATCAGTCCCCTGATGATAAACACTTGCTGATTTCCAATCTTTTGCTGTAGTGAATCCCCCTGTATATGTAATTTTGTTTATATACAGGTATATCTATAGAATAAATTTCCAGAAGCTCTACAGCTTTGATTTGTCAAGTGTTGCCACACTGCCCTCTACAGGAAATACATCATTTTGCATTTAAACCAGCAATGTATCAAAGGCCCAGTTACACCTCAGCCTTAGAATCAAGATCCTTGCTTTTTCAAAATTAAAAATAAATTTAAATTTATAAAAGTAGTTAGCTTATTACACAAGTATTTATAATATTGGACAAATTGTATAGATGAAAATGATAAAGCAATGCTTAAGTGAAAAAGGGTTGGAATGTTTGGTGTAGAGGAATTGTGACTTGAGGTTTACTTACCCGTTGTTTAATTTTTTCAGTCAGAAATGGTTTAATCATGGAAAAAACAGCATGGAAAATTGCTGGTTCATTTATCAAATGGATTCCACGAACCTTCAATGGAAAGGAATCCTTTTCAAAATAAAGAAAAATCTTCTTAATAACAAAAAATAAATATTACAATACTGTCCCTAATAACAAGTCTCCTCTTTGAACACTTGCTAAACTTAAAGCAATACCTGAAGTGTGATTTTATTTTCAAAATTATTCATTTCATTGACAGAAAAGCCTGGTTTACCATGTATTGCCACTAGACTAAGATCTCTAAAAGGATGCTTAATAGCTCTAGTAAAGTATTTTAAGAAATACCTGCACATTTTCACCAGAAAATTGCATTCATGATCACATATAAATGATTTTTTTAAGGAACAAATCAGTGATTTGACCAACTATATATGCCATTTTCCTTAATAATTTTTATTTTGAGAAAAAAATTAAACTTGCATAAAAAATGAAAGAATAGTACAAGGAAAACAAACTTTAAACTTTTGAAATTGGTATACAGGGTGACATCTGTGGCTCAGTGGATAAGGCGCTGGCCCCATACATGGAGGGTGGTGGGTTCAAACCTGACCCCGGCCAAATTGCAACAAAAAAATAGCCAGGTGTTGTAGAGGGCCGTGGCATCACAGCTCACTGAAATTGGAATACATCTAAAGGAGCAAAGTAATATAGGCTTACGTAGAAAGTTTCAAAAGCTAAGTTTTTTTTTGTTTTGTTTTGTTTTTATGGTGAAAAGTCATATATTTAGAATTAGCCAGCTGGACTTGGTTTAGATGATCCCAATTTTGGTGGCAACATCCAAAGCATCATAATCAGGAGCCAGTTGAACATATGCTGCCTTCTTCTCACCATCAGGCCTGATCAGGGTGTTGACCTTGGCCACATCAATGTCATAAAAGCTTCTTCACAGTCTATTTGATGTGATGCTTGTTGGCTTTGACATCCACAATGAACACAAGTGTGTTGTTGTCTTCTATCTTCTTCATGGCAGACTCAGTGGTCAGGGGGAACTTGATGATGGCATAGTGGTCAAGCTTGTTTCTCCTGGGGGTGCTCTTCCGAGGATATTTGGGCTGCCTCCGGAGCTTCAGAGTCTTTGGTCACCGGAAGGTGGGTGATGTATAGATCTTCCTTTTTTGTGTGGCTGTGGATGCCTTTTAGCACTGCCTTCTTGGCCTTCAGTGCCTTTGCCTTGGCTTTGGCTTTGGGAGGGGCAGGAGCTTCCTTCTTTGCTTTTGGTGCCATCTTGTGAAAAGCAAAAGCTAAGTTTTAAAAGAAAAATAAAATGGTTTCCCCACCCAAAAGTTATATTGTTAATACAAACACTTTTCCTTCCAAAAGAATTTTCTCTTTTATTTTTCTATTCATAGCTTTTAGAGATATACTATTAATTTGAGGCTTTTCCTTCCAAGTCACTTTTTTTTTTTTTCTGGTCCATGCTATATCAAGCACCATCAGCAGTACTTTTCAATTTCTTTTTTTTTTTTTTTATTGTTGGGGATTCATTGAGGGTACAAGAAACCAAGTTACAATGATTGCATTTCTTAGGTAAAGTCCCTCTTACAATCGTGTCTTGCCCCCAAAAGGTGTGGCACACACCAAGACCCCACCCAACTCCCTCCTTCCCTCTTTCTGCTCTTCTTTCCCCACTCTCCTCCTTCTTTATCTCTCTGCTCTTCCCTTCCCCCACCCCACCATGTTATTAATTGTCATTAATTGTCCTCATATCAAAATTGAGGAACAGAGCAGCACCTGTGGCTCAAAGGAGTAGGGCGCTGGCCCCATATGCCAGAGGTGGCAGGTTCAAACACAGCTCAGCCCAAAAACTGAAAAAAAAAAAAAATTGAGTACATAGGATTTATGCTTCTCCATTCTTGTGATGCTTTACTAAGAATAATGTGTTTTACTTCCATTCAGGTTAATACAAAGGCTGTAAAGTCTCCATTTTTTTCTTTTTTCTTTTTCTTTTTTTGCAGTTTTTGGCCGGGGCTGGGTTTGAACCCACCACCTCCAGTATATGGGGCCGGTGCCCTACTCCTTTGAGCCACAGGCGCCTGCCAAGTCTCCATTTTTTAATGGCTCAATAGTATTCCATGGTGTACATATACCACAGCTTGTTAATCCATTCCTGGATTGGTGGGCATTTAGGCTGTTTCCACATTTTGGAAATTGTAAATTGAGCTGTTATAAAGAATCTAGTGCAAGTGTCCTTATGATAAAAGGACTTTTTTCTTTCTGGGTAGATGCCCAGTAATGGGATTATAGGATAAAATGGGAGGTCTAGCTTGAGTTCTTTGAGGGTTCTCCATACTTCCTTCCAAAAAGGTTGTATTAGTTT